AGCCCCGAGCCCACGCGCCCTGACCGCCAAGCGGAGTGGCCCAGAGGGTCGCTGGGCTCCTCACAAGACCCGAGGAGGCCTGAGCGTGGGCCGGCGCCCGGTGTGGAGCCTGAACCCCCACTATAACATCACCATCTCTGTCTGGCGGGAAGCGGCCCTTGGCACAGGGGCCCAACCCCCCCAGGCCCCAAAGCACAGCTGCTCTCGCACCCACAGGAAAACCCACGGGAGCGCCGCAGAGACCCCGTGTCCTGGTCTGTTCCTGCCCCTCCCAGACCGCCCAGGCCCCTAGGGGCGGCTTCGCACAGAAGGGTGCCCCAGGAACCAGCTGACGTGCCAGCCCCAGCTACTCCCGCTGAGGGACCGGAGCCCCGGGGCCGGTGGGGCTGGGGTCACACACCCAGGCCACGCTCTCGGGGCTGAGCCCCACTGACGCAGACGTTACGGACCTGGGGGCCGGGCTGGCGGGAGGCAGCAGCTGTGCACCCACTAGCCAGATGCTCCAGCGAGCAGCACGGGGCAGGGGCCCTCACGACACCCCAGAAGGCCCGTGCAGGGAGGTCCTGCCAGGAGTAGGGCGGGTGTGCCTGGGCCTTACACCAAAGAGGGTCTGGGTGGGGCCTCCAGAGGGGGATGAAGGATACAGAGCCGGGTGGGCGCAGAGCGGGCTGGAGCGGGGACCCCGGCCCCACGGGCACTGCACGCACTCGGCAGGCCCCCGCATCCCACAGCCGGTGTCCTGCCGGGACCCACGGGCAGGCAGAGCCCTCTGCCCGGCTGGGGAGGCTCGGCTGGTCCCTCAACCGGCAGGTTACGTAAGCAGCAGAAGGGGGAGAGTAAAGGTAAGAGGAATTTGAGGTGAAAGACACCAACGGGCCCAGGGTGGCAGGAAGGAGACCCCAGGTGTGGGGATTCAGCCCCAAGGCACCCCAAGGTCCCCACCCAGGGAGCTGCCGGCTCCCCCCACCTCCCAACGTGGGGGCAGAGTGGGGCAGAAGGGAGGCCGTCGTCCAGCAAGTCCCTCACACCCCGGTCTCCTGGCAGTTCCTCCTCCCTGGGAAAAAGGCAGGTAAAGCTGGGCTGCCCAGCCCCCCCCAAAAGAGTCTGTTCTGTAGCGAGGCTCCCGGTGGGCACCCGGGGTGGGGGAGGGAGCATCTGCCCCTGCAGCCCCGCCCAGGCCACCGCCCAGGCCAGCTGTCGCCAGAGAAAGGCGCCAGGAGAGGCGGGAAGGGGCGGGAGGGAGAGCTGGCGGGGTGACAGACCTGGCTGAGGGGAGTCCCCAGACAGGGAGTGGCAGAAGGAGGGGCCTCGGCCTCGCAGAGCACCTCTGGCCTCCCTCACTGACTCCCCCTTTGTGCAGCCTCAGAGCTGGAGGGGTCTCCCCCCAGAGCAATGTTCCCCTTTGTCTAGACTTGGGGGCTTGGGACCAGTGTCCAGGCCGGCATGGGGGTGTCTGGACGGGAACAGGCTTTCTGCTTCCGAGGGCACCCCCACGCCAGCCGGGGCTCACCGAGCTCTCATGATGGAGCTTCCTTCCCGCCGTCTGTACTCCTCCCTCGGGGCCAGAGACCCTCGAGCTCCAGCCCCCTTCCCAGGGTCCCACACTCCCCGCAGCCCCGGAGAGGCCAGCACCCTGCAGGCTTTGCTCGAGGCGGCCCCTGTGTCGGGCCCCTGTGTCGGGCCCCTGTGTCGGGGCGCCACCTCAGGTCTGCGAGGACAGCCAAGCCGCAGGCCACCACAGGGGCCAGCTCTCCACCAAGGCGGGCTGGGGTGGGCCCTGAGCGTGGGCCCCTTGGGCAGGGCTGGCTCCGCACACCCAGCATCCATCACCCCCTCCTAGTGCTCCTGGGCCCGGGCAGCTGGGGCCCGGGCGAGCGCTTCTACAGCTGGGAGGCCGGCAGAGGCTGGTTCTCCGGGACAGTCCACATGGAAGGGGCGGGCCTGAGCCCAAGACTTGGCCTGGGGGTCCCCAGCCAGGCACACAGCGGCGGTGTGAGTGCAGAGGGTGTGGCTCAGCGGCACGGAGCTCACCGTCCCCGCGGGAGTCTACTCTGGGGCAGCCCTCCGAGGCCCATCTGCACCGGCTTCCTCGTCAGCCGGCCGCGTGGCGGGAGAGAGGCCTGAGGCCCAGGGCTGGGTGTCCCCGCAGACTGGACCCCACACTCTCTGCTCCCCCAACTTCACAAGTGAGGACGCGCCAAGACCCTGGTGTGGGGCACTTGAGCCAGGGTCGCTCCCCCGCCGTCCCTGGTGGCACCAAGGGTGTCTGGGGCCAGCCCTGGGCTGTCCTCTGAGAGGCCAGTAGACGCCACTCGGCAACCTGCAGGCCCGGTCGCCAGGGTTACCATCCAGGGCGGCACCGCCCCAGAGACCATGTCCCTGCCCTCAAGGACGTGCCGCCTCAGCATGGCCGGGGCAGGGCACCCAAAGCCTGGGGGCCAGGGCCAGCACCGTCAGCACCAGGACAGCCTCTGGAGGCGCCGGACATGGTCTGCGCGGGACACCGGAGGGCGTCTGAGCCTCCACCCATCCTCGACCTTGTCCTGAGACCCACCAAGGGTGGGAGGGGTCCCCGAGGGACTCTTGGTCAAGGCCAGGGCCTGGGGGCCGACTCAGGGGCCCCCCAAGGAGGCTCTCCTGCTGGGCCATGACTGCATCAGTCGGGGCAGTGGGCACTCAGGAGGCCTGAGCTTCACCTGAGCCGTGTCCAGGCTCCAGGGCCACATCCTGGGAGGAGGGGCTGATTCAGCTCTGTGGTCCGCTGCTCCCTGGGCCCTGTTCCCCTCCAGTCCTGCACTGGGGGGCTCTTGGGCCAGGTCCATGACCCCAGGGGCTCTGCAGCCAGCTCCACCTGACCACACGCCTCTCTCAGCCTCCGTCTGGGCTGCGTGAGGTCTGGGCTGCGTGAGGGTGGGGTGGGTTGGGCAGCCCTCGGCCCCGCACCGACCCTACTGGTCAAGATAGGCCTGCCAGGGTCAGGGTGAGGCGGGCCTGGCTCTCCTTCCCCGGCCGGGCCAGAGAGGGCCAAGGACACCCCACCTTGGGACCGGACTTTGCCGGCAGCTGTCAGGCACAACTTTTGCTAAGAAAACCGTCACTGGAAGACAGATTTGCCTTCTTGCGGTTAGCAGAGGCGAGGGCGTCCCGCTCACCTCGCTGCGAGCCTGCGTCCCAGCGGCCCGCCCCGCCCGCTGGAGCGGGCAGCGCACCCGTCCCGCAGGGACCTAAAACTGACCCTTTTACCTCCCAAGTCCAGGATCCCCCAACCCTGCATCTGTGGGGTCTCCAGGCCTTCTGCCCCCGAAGAGGGGAACTGGGAGGCTGGACAGGTGTGCGGGCCGGACGCGGGCCTCCCAGGGCCTGCACTTGGGGCCTGGGGCAGCTCCTCCTCCCCCACAACCTCCCAGGGGACTCGTTTGAGGCCTGACACTTGGTTTCCGGCTGTAACGCAGTCTGGCGTCAGCTTGGTCACCCGGCCCCATTTCAAAGACTTCCGCAGAGCTCCGAGCCGGCCCAGGCGGGAGGCCCCCAGTGTAGCCCACCCGCCTGTGTAGCCCGCCTGTTCCTCCCCTGGGCTAACATAATTCCATATATTTTATGTATTAATTGTGAACCCACAAACCCCCATACACAACCCTTGACCCCAGTAACGGCAGAGTTGCACATCTATAAGAGGCCAGGCCCTCAGCCCCGGGAGCAGTGGCTGAACAGGAACGCCCCCACGGGAGACACGCTTCGGCCCTGGCCCCGGGGCAGGACACGGCCGGCCCCACCAAGCCCCTGCCCTGGTTTCCCCACCTGAGTGAGGCCGGATCCCTCAGACCAGAGAAGGGGAATTCACAGGCTCAGTGCCCGCCAGCCCACCCCACCCCAGCTGCACCAGCCCTGAACCCACCCCCTCTGGGTCCAGGGGTGCCCGTGGGTGCTGCGCCGCCCAGCGTCCATGAGGCAGACAGGGCCGGTCAGCTCCTGCCTCCCCTCGCCCTGCATGGTGGTGCTTGGGATGGGAGTCCCCATGGTCCCCATTATTTGCCAGATGCCCAAGGTGCCCGGGACAGGTGTGTGTTGGGGTGAGGGTCTTCTGGAAGAGGGGCCTTTGGGGGGTAGGGCATCTGGGGTTCCCAGCACCCCCTCCCTGCATGCGGCCCTGGACCAGCGCTGGGGCTGAGAGCTCAGCCTGGGAAGGCAGAGGCAGCTCATGCCGTACAGGCCCTCCCTGGGTTCTGGATTCCGTCGCGAGCTGACTCCGCAAGCTGACCCAGGGTGCCCAGCAGCAAGTCTGGGCAGGAGGAACAGTCGGGGCCAGCAGAGGTGACTGGGACAGTAGAGGCTCCCCAAGGCCAGGGTCCCTGCACCCCCCTGCTGCCGCCATCATCCCCTTTCTGGCCCAGCACACCTGGCAGTGGGCATCAGCGGCACCTCCTGGACCAGCACCTGCCTTCTGGCCAAGAGGAGGGCCCTGCGTGGCCCCCAACCTGCCCCTTGTCTCTGGAAACACCAGCTCAGTCCTCCTTCAGGGTCTTCTCCCATAACTCAGTGCCTGTGGTGGGGAGCCCCGCCCCTCTGTTCCATCCGGACCCTGTTCAGGGGACCCAGACTCATCAGAGGTGCAGGGCCGGCTCAGAGATGGGCACAGGGCCACATAGACCAATGAGAGGCAGGTCTGTTGGACTCTGGGCAAAGAGGAGTCATCTCCCACAAGAAGGGGGTGCTGGTGGGGTCTGGTACCTTTCATGAGAGGAGATGGAGCCAAAGAACAAAACACCAAGCAAAAGCAAGACAGAGACAGAGAGGAAGCTGGTGGACCCCTGGATGCAGCCATGCCTGAAGTCCTTCCTGCACCTGCACCCAGCCTTGCCTCATCGACTCCTGCCGCCCGTCTGAACGTGACTGGGGCTGACACGCTTTTTCTCTTTCGCAACCTCCAAACCCACCACGGAAGCTGTGCCTCAAGATCAGGCTCCCGAGAGCACAAGCACTTACCGCCCCGCTCCACTCACCATGACAGACGTGGTCATGCCCTGAAGGTGGAAGACGTCCATGCTGGTCTCCGCGCTGCCCGCCGCCTCATTATTCCCCCGGCTGGACGAGGCAAGGTCGAAGTAGGTGCTGTCTGGCTCCCTGGGAGGAGGGGGTCAGCGCCGTCAGCCCCACACCCCCAGGCCCGGAGCCCATCCGAAGCTCCTGCCCCAAAAGCCATCATCTCGCCTGCTCCTCCCTGCTGACACTCAGCTCCTGCCTCCCCATCCCGGCCTGGCTCTGCAGGCCTGGTGCGAGTGCCAGCGAGGCCTGGGCACTCTCCTCTCCCAGCACCCACCCCTGGGAGGCATCCCCAGGACAAGGCCCGAGCCGGCCGCTTCCTGCCCACCCTCGCCTGCCCCTCCCGCCCGACAGGGGCCACGAGCCCGGCCCTGCCATGGAGGGCATACTCACAGGGAGCTCCAGAGGTGCTCGAAGGTGGCCCCCTCGTCGGCAGAGGACGTCTGGGACATCTCGGCCCACGCCGGCCCGAGGGCTCGCTCTGTGGGGCAGGAGGTGCACGGTGAGCAAGGCCCCTCCTTCGCAGCGGGACCCTCCTGCCCACCCGCCGGGCTCGACCTCGGAGACGGCCTGGCCTGGCCTCTGGCCTGGGGACCACCGGCTGGGAGGTGGGGGCAGCAGCAGCCCTTGCCGGGGACGGCAGCCCCCGAGGCACCCCTCATGGCCCTGAGGAGTGTCTGGTCACGGTGCTCCTGACCCCAAGCCCTGGGGCTGCTTGGATGCCGGGGCCGTGGGGCGGGCGCGTGCCCACGGCTGCAGGGACGCCACAGCCTTCCGCCTCCGGGGCCGTCTGGCCATGGGAGAGGCCGCCGAGGCGGTAAAGCTGCCGGCCGGGGTCACCCACCCGTGGCCCTGCCTCACAGGAGACCCCAGGCCCGCTGGCCAGGCCCGCGACCCCGTCTCCTCTGTTGCCTCCATGCCCAGCTCCACCCATGGGGCCCGCCACCCAGGAGGACGCTGCCGGGGGCACAGGGGGGGCCCCTTGTCCCGCGGTGGGGGGAGGGGCAGGAAACCTGAGGCCACCTGCCCCCGCCAGGGCTCCCAGGGCGCCTCCAGGCCCTTGGCGAGGGGCTGTGGGAGTCAGCTGGGCCAGCGCCTGGCAGTGCCCAAGCAGGCAGGCCCAGACCTGCCCGCGGCATGTGGGGGAGGGGCCGGCCCTCAATCTGTTGCTTTCTGTCCCCGGGAGGGCAGGTGCTGCGGTGGCCTGTGACACGCTCCTGGGGCAGCCACGTGCCAGACTGCCAGCCCCGGGCAGCGGCACGAGCCAGGAGTGCTGCAGGGGCTGGGCTGGGCACCGGGGGGAGGCTGAGGCCAAGCACAATGGCCAGGAACAGGCCGTGCAGAAAGCACCGCCGCAGATTAGCTGACCTGCGGGCCCAGGCCTCCCGGTCTGCACATCACTGCCCTGATCAGGGGCTAGTACCCAAATACACACATGGCTCGTACGACTGCTCGGGAGATTCAAGCTCGGAGAGGTTGCGTGGCCTGCTGAGGTCACACAGCACAGTTGCAAGCAGAGGAAAGATGCGGCGGTTTTCTCAGTTGGAAACCGCCCAAGTCGCCCCCTCCCCGGCACTGCAGCACACGAGCCGCAGGAGTCCACCGGGCGGCCAGGGCTGGCCTGCAGGCCTCTACCGCAGGACGTCACTCCCGCCCCGGGCCGAGCAGTCTGAAACCCAGCGGAGCCAGCCGCCGGCCATTCCGAACGGGGCCTGGTGGGCAGCAGCACCACCGTGGCCGCCTGGCCCTGGCGCGGGCTGGAGGGACCCTGCCACCCGTTCCTCAGGGCTGGCCATTCGGGGTGGGCAGGCTTGGCCTGGGCCACTGCTCGGGGTGGGTGGGCCGCGCCAACACGAGGCTCACAGGTTGGGGCCCTTTGCGATGGGTCGGCCCAGCCTCCCTCCCTCTCGCGCTTCCCGCGCTTCTGACCTGTACCCAGTGCTTGTATAAATAAATGAATCTTTAAAAAAAAAGACACGTGAGTGGGAACGCTGAATGGACACCTCTCCAGGGCAGATGGCCAGGTGGCCAGCAGGCACGGGAGAAGCTCAGCGTCACTGACCAGAGCAGAAGGGAGGTCAGCGCCATATCCCCTCAACCTGAGAGCGGCTATTACCAAAAAGACAGAGATGAAAGTGCCGGGGAGGGTGTGGAGTGCGCTGCGGCGGGGGTGCAGAACGGTGGCAGCTCCTCAAGAAACTAAAATAGAATCACGGGTGACCCGCCCACGCCACTTCTGGGCACTACCTGAGGAAAGCAAAAACACTAATTTGAGATGACACGTGCACCCATGTCCCACTGTTTAGGGTGGAAACGGCCTACGCGCCACCGGTGAGGGGTGGAGAATGGGAGGACACGCGCGCGGTGGAATACTACGCAGCTGTACAAAGGGTGGCGCGCGGACACCTGCCACACAGCCCACCCGGGAAGGACACTATTTCACTTACACGTGGACTCTACAAAACAAAGCGGACAAAGGGAAACTCAGGGAGAGCAGGCGGCACTACCAGGGGGTGGGGCGCGTGAAATGAGTGAAGGGGACCGGGGGCATCGACCTCCCTCTAGGAGGTGGGTGATCCCAGGGAGGCCTCGCGCTCGCAGGGGACCGCCGCTGAGAAACGTGCTGTCAGGCTGGCGAGGGTGTGACGTCACGAGGGCGCACACACCTGCCCGCACGGCCTCGCGCCCAGCTGGCAGCCAGGGGCGGCCTATTGGGGCCACCGTCTCTGAGGTGACTGTGATTGGCCGGACGTCCCCAGGTGGCGCTCGCAAATTTTAAAAATCACTCAGAATCGTGAGAAAGTGCGCTGTGGCGATCATCTGGGATGGCACGCAAGCGGCAGTCCCTGTCCCGCACCCCTGGGGCCGGGGTGCCAAGTGCCGTCCCAAGCCACGGACCGTGCGGGAGGCCCGCGTCCCGTGACCCTTCTACGCGAAGTGTCCAGAACAGACAAACCTCGAGGCGGACAGCAGGGCGGTGGCTGCGGGGGCAGGGGGCTCGCCCTCCGGAAGCAGGCAGGGGTCCTTTGGGGGAGGGGAGTGCTCTGGAAGCAGGTGGGGCGGCTACAGGCCTGGGGGGCTGCGCTAGGTGTCCCCAACCGTGTGCTTTAAAAGGGTCGGCTTCATGTCTGTGAATTTCACCTGCACGCAGAAGTGACTTTTCATGGAAGACACGCTCTGGGTGGGGCCTGGGGAAAAGCAGCACTGCCGCGTGGAGGGGCACCCCCAAAGCCCATGTTCTCAGCAGCACCTGCCGCCCAGGTTTGGGGAAACCAAGTCCGCATCTCCCCGTGAGGCTGAGGGACTGGCTCCCCACGCCAGCCCTGTACCTCACTTCCTCCAGAGCAGCCTGGGGGTGCGTGGGGTGTGCATGCCAGCTCTGGGGGACACGGCCACCCGGCCCTCTTCCGGAACTGTGGCCTCCGAGATGCCTGCCCCGCGCCTGGCTGTGCCGGTGGGCGCTGCCCAGGACCCTCTGGATACCGGCCACCTTGTCCCGCCCAGGTGGCAGGTGCCGGGGAACAGGCCACACTGAGTCCCCGGCCGTGACGAGGATGGGGCGGTCCGGGGCCCCCAAATCCAGGGGGTGCACACTCTACCTTTGTACTATCACCCTTGGGGGGAGCCCAAACACCCCCCGCCCAGGACTCCTGGTGCACCGTCCGCGCGGCCCCAGGGCCCCACCAAGCCAGCGTCACCCCGGCTCCACGCCCCACTGACTCTCAGACCTCAGCCCAACGGCTCTGCTCCCTGGGGCCACCTGGCCACATCTGCCCACATTTTCGGTGTCACACAAGTGGGGGAGGGGTGCGGCTCCCGCCCGGGAGGCACCCTGCCCCATGGAGACAGGCCCCTGGTGCCCGAGGGCCCCTGGCTCTCATTGCACTCAGCAGCCGCTGCCCGCCGGGCCAGGGACGGACGGAGGCTGGCAGGACAGGGCCTTGGCAGCGCTACTGCAGGGGAGGCCAGGCTCAGCTCCCCGGGTCAGCTGAGGGCCTGGCCCCACACAGCCCTCACCACCCGGGGGGCAAACCTGCTCCCCGTATGACTCACACGGACCCTCGCCGGCCAGGCAGGATCTGGGCCTGCGTGTCCCTGTGGCCCTACCCCATGCAGGCCCCCAAAGCACCTCCAAAAACCTGGGCCCCGTGTGCCGAGGAAGAGGGCCTCCTCCCCTCAGCAAGGGCCCAGGCTCGGGGCTCGCGGAGGCCAGCAAGGACGGGACCCAAAGGACTCCGCCCTGCACCCCCCGCCCCCAGCCTGCCTCTCTCCACTGTCCCTTGCCCCTCCCAGCCATTCAGACGCCCGCTGACCAGCCCGAGGCCCTGGGGCAGCTAGACCCGGGCCCACCCGGCCTGGTCTGGAGGGTGCAGAGGTCCCTACCTGGGTGGAGGGGCCGGGTGCCCATGCACGTCGCCGGGACCAAGGGAGGTACCTGGCCCTTCTGCAAAATGGCCCCCTCCGGGCAGGTGACCCAGCCGGGCTCCCAGAGGACACTCAGAGCCTTGCCTCCTGGGGCGCCCGGTGCTGACAGGCCTCTGCTCCCCCAGCGCCCCTGGAAGAGGGCTGTCCTTGCCCGGTGGGCGGCGGGGGCCAGGTCCCTCCTGGAGTGAGGGTCAGCAGTGCCCCCCGCCCCCCAGAGCAGGGGCGGCGGCCATCTTCACCTGCCCCCTGTGTGCCCCGGCCACATGGCTGGCAGCGCTGGGCAGCCTGTGTCCAGGCTCACCACGTGGGGCCAGGTCAGAACTGCCCTGACCTCCTGCCAGACCCGGCGAGGAGGGCGTGGCTGGGGCCCTCAGTCACCCCAAGACGGCAGCCACCCCCTGCGCCCATGGAGCCCGGCTGGCAGGGAGAGCCGGATTTAGCTCCCACCCCGGGGCAGGGCGCCGTGCGATGCGGAAGCAGCTGGCCCAGGGCGAGGAGGCGGGCTCCGGGAGTGCCCGGGGAACCCCCACCCAGCTTCGGCTCACCCTGCCAGGCTCACCCGCCTGCCTCACCCAGGAAACAGCCGCCCTTCCAGCGGGGCCACCGGGGTCTGGAGGAGCAAGGCGCCCCACGGGCTGCCGCAACTGACGGCGGGCGCAGGGCCCGCTCAGGGCGGAGGGGTGCCGCCCTTCCTCCACAGGGCAATGGTACCAACCGCACCTCCAGGGCGCAGGACCCCGTACACACAGGCCTGTGTGGGCAGACTCTCGGGGGCCCCCAGCGAGTGCCCGATGTCCAGGGCAGCCAGTGCCCGGTGGGGACGCACGGGCAGCCGCGGAAACCAGAACCGTCACCGCGTCACGGAGGCCCAGGTGCCCGCACCCAGGTGCCAGAGCCAGCAGCTGACCAGCCCAGGTTCCCCTGCTGGCCGGTCTCTGACCCAAACCCTTCCTGTCGCCAAACCCCGCATCCCTGAGGCCAGGGCTCTCGTCCCAGCCCTGAGCCCCCAGGCGCCCCTGCTCCGCCCT